TCAAAATAAGTCAAAAACCTAAATGTAAGAACTAAAACTATAAAACTCTTAGGAGAAAATATAGGAGTAAATCTTTGTGACCTTGAGTTAGGCAAAGCTTTCTTGGATATAACACCAAAAGGACAAACAACAAAGGAAAAGTAGATAAATTGGACATCATCAAAGTTAAAAACTTTTGTACAGCAAAATATGCCATCAAGAATGTGAAAAGTCAACCCACAGAATGGGAGATAAAATTTGCAAATCATACATCTCATAAAGGACTTGTATCTAGACTGTATGAAGAATTCTTACAACTTAATAACAAAAAGACAAATAACCCAATTTCAAAATGTACAAAGAATCTAAATAGACATTTCTCCAAAGTTATACAAATGTCCAATAAGCACATGAAAAAATTCTCAACATCATTAGCCATCAAAGAAATGCAAATCAAACCACAATGAGATGCACTTCACACCCACGAGGATGGCTATACTAAAAAAGATAGATAATACAGGTGTTGGTGAGAATGCATAAAAATTGGAACTCTCATACATTGTTGCTGATGGAAATGTAATATGGTGTAGCTACTTTGTAAAACAGTAGAGTTACCATATGACCCAAGAGTTCCAATTCCATTCCTACATATATGTTCAAGAAAAATGAAAACGTTATGTCCACACAAAAACTTGCACACAAATGTTAATAGCAGTGTTATTCATAATAGTAAAAAAATGGAAACAATTCAAGTATCCATCAACCAACGAATGGATAAATAAAATGTGGTATATCCATACAGTACAATATTATTCATCAATAGAAAGGAATGAAATACTGATACATGTTCCACATGGATGAACCTTGAAAACATAAATTGCCCGTAAACATATAAGATGCTCAATTTTATTAATAATCAGGGAAATTAAATTTAAAATCATGATAAGATATCATTACACATCTATGTTGACTAAAAGTAAGAAGTCAGGCATTACCAGGTGTTGGTGAGGACGTGGATCAGTGGGAACTGCTGGAAGGAAGGTAAACGGGGAAAACTCTTTGAAAACAGTGAGGCATCACCTCACAAATACAAGAATGTTCAAAACAGCATTTCCATAAAAGAGAAAGAATGCAAGCAGCTCAAATGTCCTTCACCAGTGGAATAGATCGACTGAGATGTTGTCAGGCAACGGAATACAGCACGGTGGTGAAAATGAATGAAGTGCAGTCACATGCATCCACGAGGATGAGTCTCGGAAACATCATGCTGGGAGCATAAGTCACAGAAGAATAAATGCAGTGTGATTCCATCAATATAAAGTTCAAAATCAGGCAAAACTAAACAGTATATTGTTTGTGGATACATCACAGGTGGTAAAACTATAAAGAAAAGCAAGGGAATGATAAACACACAATTCAGGACGATGTGGGCAGCGGGGGAGGAGCAAACAGGCTTCCAAGATGCCGGTAATGATCTATTTCATAAACTTGGTAATGGGTACCTGGGAGTATTTATTTTATTAGTCATCTTTAAACTGTACATACAGTCATGCACCACATAACAATGTTTCAGTCAATGACAGGCTACATTTATGACAGTGGTCCCATAAAATTAGTACCATATAGCCTATGTGTGTAGTAGGCTATACCATCTGGGTTTGTATAAGTACACACTATGATGTTCACACAACGACGAAATCACCTAACAACGCATTTCTCAGAACGCATCTCTGTCATTAAGCAAGACATGACTGACTGTATATTTTATACATTTTCTGTCTGCATAATGTATTTCACAATTTAAATATTTAAAATAATGAACTAGATCACCCTCAGGCGTCCTTCTAACTCTTTGATTTTGAAATTTCATAACACAGTCTCATTTGAAAAGTTGAAAATCAGCAGAATTTTGTTATATAATTATCCTGGACTCTCAGATCTAGAGGTGTCCTCCGTTACCCTCATTTTACAAATGAAGCAACTAAGCTCCAGAGACATGAGGCAACTTTTTCAAAGTCACACAGCACCCGAGTGGTAGAATAGAAACATGGACAAAGGTCCAGTGACCCCCAAAACAGTACATTTTCCACTGAAACATGCTAGGGCTGTGTGCAAGGCCTCCTTCTAGGCATTATATTTACAGTAAGCATTCATTCTGGATTATCTCAAAGCAGTTCTAACTTTTAATATTCTGTCCCACTGTCAAACCATATGATCAGATTTTTTTTTAGTTAATAGACTTTATTTTTTTGATTCACAGAATGACGACTGTCCCAGGTGTATTTATTCCACATCGGTTCCATACTACAGACCCTCTCCATGGCCTTTCCTGTTATTTGAATGTCAGGCTCTGCTCAGCCTCAAATACATCTGTCGTGCTGGTCCAGCTTGCCTTCCATCCCTGTGTTCCCCAGTGGATTTCCAGGAGCCCCTGAGATTCTTATCAACCTTTACATCCTTTCTACCAAAAACTTCCTCCTTCAGCTCCTTGGGGGAAGTGGAGGAACTGATTGTTCCAAGTTTTCTTATGGCCTCCTGGTTTTCTCTACTGGGAGAGGTGGCTCTGGGGGCGGAGTTGGCAGTGGAAACAAAGGAGAGAAAAGAAGGGAAAAAACAGGAGCTGCTTCCAATGAGGTCGTAGGCCATGACCTAACTAATTCCACAGCCATGAAGTCAATTGATCCGCCACCTGTACACCCAGAACAGCCTGTACTCTGAACTTGCCTGCCCTCCAGACTGGGCATTGTTTGATGTACCCTTCCCCACCAACCACCACCACCGCCACCACCTCCACTCACGCCATGCCTCTCCACAGGGGTGGTCTCCGGGGCCCTCCAGCTCTCCCTCACGCTGAGTTTTAAATGTTTAGGCACATGGTAAGCCCTGAAGGAAGCTCTCCTCCTAGACTCACAGGATGTCAGTGTCAGAAGAAAAGCTCAGGTCATTTCTTGTCCAGTCTCTTCATTTTATGTATAAGTGAACAGAGGCCCCAGACAAGAGAGAGCCAAGTTCATATCACCCAGAGAGTTAGTGGCAGTGGTGAGACCAGAGCCCAGGTGGTCTGACTCCCAGACCACCCACTGTGCTGCACTGTTCCCACTAATGCTGTGACCTCTGGGGCTGCCCTCCTCCTCACTCACCTGGGCCCTTTAAGCCTGCCTCTGGCCTGTGAGGTGAAGAAACACTTGCGAAATACTTCTGACCTTCACCTGGAAGTCCCTCCTATTTCTAACCTGGCTGCTTTTGCAGAACAACTTTCCCTGTGAGAGATGAGGTAGTATTTACTGGGGTGAGGTCACCTGGTCCAGTTAGGTCCTCACACTTACAGGCTTGGAAACTCCATTTCATTGGTTTCCCCACACTGACTGAGCTTGAGAGAGCTGACTCGTGCTCACCAAGCCCTCAGGAAACAGATGTGTAAAATCAGGGTGCCTGTTTATTAATGTAAACAAGAGCTGTAACTCTCCATTGTGCTAGTTCACCTGACCAGCTGCTCTCTCCCAAAGGCAATCTATGTAGAAAGTCAAACTATCAGACAGTCGTTTGTTGAATGCAGACTCAAGACAAGGGGAGCCGGTCATAGTGTTCAAATGGGCTCTCCAGTGGCCTTCCTTTGATGGCTGACCAGCTCTTCCTGGCTGGCCCAGCCTGGCTTGAGCTGGATCAATACACTCAGCAGTTCTGGTGGCCCTGAGAGCCATTCAATCCTCTTGGAAGAAACTTTGCCTCCTTCTGCTCTGCCCATTATGTGTTGATTTCATAACTTAACTCTCAGAGGGAAATCTCACTACCCACATTTCTAAGCCCTTTGGGGGAGGGAAGTCCCACATGATTCAGTTGTTCAGACACCTATAATTATATCCACCTGCTCTTCTGTTATCTGTCCTGCACATCTTCATATTGTCCACAGGGACATCCCAAAAGACCTTATGAAATTCCTTATAAAATCATGTTGCCTCTCTACTGGAAAGCTATCAATGCTATTGATCATTTTTGCAACTGATTGATGGGGAATCATTATAATCTCTCTGCCTTTGCATATGTCTGAGATTTTTTCCAAATAATTTTTTCTGAAGTTTTTAAAAACCATCCATGGCTTCTCAGTATCTCACAAAACCTAAACTTCCTAAACTGGACTCAGGCCCTCCTCTAACTGTCCTGTCCATATTTTCCTGTATTACTGCCTTCCACTCCCTAAAAACACCACCCCTACCCCAGCCCCACCTCCACACTTGCAACTTCTTACCTCTATATTTTAGTTGATTCTGTTCCTTCAAAGTTTCAACTCAAGTACCGCCTCCTCCAAGAAGCCTCCTATGATCCCTCCCCCACTGACAGTGCTCCCTTTTCCTCCCCACTCACAGCACTTACTGCCTGCACCAGCCCATGGCCTGTCACCCCTGATGTATGTTCTATCCGGTCCTCTCTTTGCATACATCATTAGCTCTTCATAGTTCAGGGACTGTGTTTTGTCATTCTTGCCTGGGAAGAGACCCACTCTTTATGGCTATGGTGAGGACAGATTATAAACTTCAAATCATCCATCCTCTTGCCATCCTAAGTGTGTCATGCACGTAGAAAGTGCCCAGGAAATTTTTAACTGAATGATTCTTCTATCAAATTCATGATACCACCAGCTGTGTAGCGTGCGTGGGCCACATGGCCTTCAACGTCTCATCCGCAAATTGAGAGGATTGTACAACATCAGTGGTCTCAGTCATTGTGCATCAGAATCAGCTGGGGAGTGGGTTAACATGCAGACGCCTGGCCTCAACCCCAAGGAGTCTGATGCAGGCCCAGGCATCTGCATCTTAAGAAGCCCGCCAGGTGATTCTGACGCGAGTGGTCTTTGGGTTATACTTTAAGGAACACTGGCCCCAAAGGCCCATGAGGTCTCATGTGCCACCATTCTCTGGCCATTCATCACCAAGTCGGGCACCAGACGTGTCCCCAGCGAGAACCTCATGCTTGCAGATCCTCCAGGACTCAACCTGCCCTTTTCCCCTCCTTGTTTCCCCAAGTGTGTGGCTGCGGCCTGGCCCAGTCGGGCTTCTTTTTCAAGAACCAGGAGTACATCTGCACCCAGGACTACCAGCAACTCTACGGCACCCGCTGCGACAGCTGCCGGGACTTCATCACGGGCGAGGTCATCTCGGCCTTGGGCCGCACCTACCACCCCAAGTGCTTCGTGTGCAGCTTGTGCAGGTGAGCAGTGGCCAGTGGAGGCTGGGACCCTCTGCCTGAGCCCTGGGGAAGGAGAGAAATGTTCTTTCCCAGGCAGTTCTGAGGCTTACAGGGCTTTATTCTGGACACTTAGATTTCTAGAATCTCAGAGGTGGAAAGATCTCACAGGCCAGTGGTTTTCAAGCCTTTTAGCAGCTGAATCCATTTGTCAAATGTGTTCTAATGTAAAATGCTAGTTTGTCCTGCGATGAAGGCAGAGTGAGGATCCGAGCCTCCATGCTCAGCCCCACTTTTCCCATCAAAAGCCAGAAAGGAACCACTGAAGACCCTGGCCTCTCAGAACTCAGCCTGGAAACCATGGATCTGGCCCAGGCTCCCACACCCTCGGCCACGTGGTACCACACGTGGTACAGGGGTATCTGTTTATAGCCTTCCTCCATGATTCTGGCAGGTGACCCCACCTCTGTAAGCCTCAGCTTTCTTCATCAGTAAAATGGGCATCAAAACCATTGCAACCTCACTGAGTTTTCATGAAGATAAATGAGATGATGCATGCAAAGACCTTAGCTCAGGGACTGGTACATGATTGTGTCTGCTTTTATTCTTCCTTTCATTATCATAATGATAATCATCCAGCCTCTCAGGATGTCTGATAGGTGATGGAAAGCTCACCCTTTCCCTCTTCCCCACCCCCAGCATCCCAATCACTTGTTAACTTAGCAAATGTACATTAAGGGTCCACTGTATGCCAAGCACCACATTAAGGAGATGAAAAAATAAAGAAAAACCTCAACCCTGCCCACAAATACATTACAATTTAATGGACTGCTCTGATTAAGTCATAAGTAAAGCATGATTAGAGTGTATGTATATGCATTTTTTTAATTGGGAAAGGAATTATAGATTAATTGTTCTCCCCATAAAATAAACTTTTAGTTACCAGTTAGAGTAACTAACCAATTAGAGTTTCTGATTGAGACCAACAACACAGTGTGTAAGAAAATATAATCTCCCAGTGGAATTCATTCATTCATCCATCTCTTAAAACCTGGACCCTGGGTCCTGGAATCTCAGACCCACAGGAGGTTGGTATAGTAGGGCCTGTATGGTATAAAGTGAAGTTTCTGTCAAGCCCCGTAGAGATGAGATGCCTCCCCAAGGTCATGCCATGTCCTATTACCATGAGTCCGTGCCTGGGCTGTGATGAGAACACGGCTCCCCTGACTCTCGCCCCAGTACTCCCTCCATTATCTCACGTTGCTGATACAAGGGCAGTGGAGCCACTGGAAGCCTGTTTCAGGGCTTATGTTCAGAGTCTGTATAACAAGTGTCCCAAATGGATGCACAAGAGCAGCTGAACAATGAGATTGACGGTGCCGGGGATTCTGTATGCAGTTTATATTTAGTTGGGGAGGCAGGATGTGTAGGAGTTGAGACCTCTGAGCTGTGGAACTCAAACTGCACGAATGCAGAGGAGAAGAGGAAGAGGTTATTTCTGGACCTCTCTGTGGACCTCTGGATAGGGAAAGGAAGAAATTTTGGTAAGTTTGGGAGTTGAATGAGTTCTTCCTCTCACATGGGCATATATCAAGTTGGGGTGGAAAAAGTTCTTTCAAGGAAGAAGGAACAACTCTAGGAGGAGTTATTAACCTCTTTGTTCTACAGATGAGAAATGTAAGCTCAATTAAGTGTTATGATTTTCCCAGTGTTAAAATCATGTTAATGGCCCCAGCGGGCCTCCAAGTTCTGGTCCTAGCCCTAATCGAGTGGTTTAGTCAGCCCAGCCCTGTGAACGGCTCTTGAATTTAGCTGGTGCTCTAGAGGGCAAGCTGTGTGTGTTACCAAAGAGCTTGGAGCACGTGTGTTGTCAGGTCACCAGTAGACACAGAATCCCTCCAGAGAAGAGTGTTGAATTTCTCCCTCGTCCCCCTTGCAGGAAGCCTTTCCCCATTGGAGACAAGGTGACCTTCAGCGGGAAAGAATGCGTGTGTCAGACGTGCTCCCAATCCATGACCAGCAGCAAACCCATCAAGATCCGCGGACCAAGCCGTGAGTCCTCCCCGCTGGGCACCTCCTTGTCTGCAGGCACTGTCTCCCCAGGCTCCCGTGTCCTGGCTCCCTTAATCACTCCAACAGGCCTGGAGGGAAGTGCGGGAGGTTCTCATCCTGGAAGACTCCTGAAGCATGACCCAGTTGGCATGCAGCCCAGACTCACAAGCTTCCCTAAGCACAAAAGCAGGGCAAACAGGCTGCCCGACTATAACCAGTGATGACCTGAGCCACTTGGCTCAGTATTGAGCCCCACCCAGTATTGGCCACTTGGGTGGGGCTCTTCTGGGATGAGTTGGGCTCCTGATCTTATCTTCCCTCTGGATCTGCGTTCCCAAGGGCACCCCAACAGAGCTGAACAAGTGTTTTACCACCAGTGGTTCTCAATTTTCATAAACTCCACTAAGAATGAATATGCAGATGTGTCTTAAAAAAGGGAAATATGGGAGCAAACCACAAGGGCCGTGCTAGTGTCTGTTAGAATGTGTTCTATGGACCAGCGCATCAGCTTCGTGCAGAACTGGTAAAAACACAGATTTCTAGGCCCACTTTGGACTTCTAGGAATGGAAATCTACACTCTTAATGAGCTTCCTAGGTGATTCATTTGCTGTTCCTACGATTGAGAACCACCATCTAGGGATGAGGGGAACATCTGCTGCGCCTAGTAAATGTTGTTTTATCACCAAACCATAGATGTGGGGGGAAACTGAGGATCAAGAGTATACCTTGAAATAGTCATTCTAATTTGTGGAATGTCCGTTCCACTCCAGTGCTTCTAGTAGTAAGATGTCTAAATCACCGTTCGCAGACACCGTTATCAGGCTGCTGACTGCGTGTGCCCACACACACATGGACCCGGCCCCCTGGGCCTCGGTAAACCACGCTAGGCTCCAGTGTTCTTTCGTGTTACATGACACTCTTGCGGGCCTCTTCTGCGGAATCAATGAAAACCCATTAGCTTCCTGTGCTGCATCACTGTGCAAGTGCAGAGGTTGTTGGCCACAGCGCCAGCAGAGTCAGCATGCTGGGGCTGCATCCGACCAAGGAGGGTGAGCATGGGGCACCCTGAGTCAGCAGGGCTGGGCTCCCAGGGGCTCCGTTAGAGTCCACCCAGTGTGGTCAGCTGGGGAGAAAGACAGTGGGAAGGCTCCCTCCCTCTTTCCTTCCTTTCAGTCGAATTGGATCTGCTTGTGGAATGTGCAGAGCCCTTCCTTCGGCATCTTTGGTGATGCTCAAGAACAGTTTGCTGCTCTGAGCAGGTTTCCATCTTGAGGTGACTGAGTGCACACACAGTTATCCTTCATAACTCCTTGAAAGCATCGTCCAGAATGACAGCAAGGCTGGGATGATAGGATGCGGGACCATGGCCCTGTGGCTGATGCTACTGAAGCACCTGGAGACCAGTGGGACCATGTGTGAGGCTGGAGAGAGAGGCAAGCTGGGAATCAGGAGCCTGCCAATATTCTGCATGATGCAAAGCAGTCATGTAGCCTCCCTGAGGGTCAGTTTACCTAGCTTTGTGGAAAGCAAATGTATTAGTATATGGGAATCAAACTAACATATGTCATGGTGTGTAATATGCTCTCTAAATATAAAGTGAGGGATGTTGTTGGCTTGGAGGTTTAATCTAGAAAGCACACCAAAGGAGGACTGAGAATAAGATTCCTGAATCTGTTGTTATTTCTCTGAGCCTGTGTTGCGTGTTACTGCATACATCGGGGATCTCAGACAGGTAGGAGATTTCCTCAGCTGAGTGTGGGAGTCTCACATGTGAGCATGTCCTTGAGGAGAGTCTACTCAATGTCTCCACCATAATTCTGCAGATGAGGAGGCAGAGGAAGGTGAGGAAGAGTGAGTAAAGAGGAGCAAGTGAGCACGTGGGCAGTGCCTGGGGGAGTACTGAGGATTGTGGTTCATCTTGTTACTCATGAAGTAAAGACATCAATCTGTGGATCTTTGGTGCATGGGTTTCATAGAAATGTTTTCTCCCCCAAAGATGGGCACTGTCCATGCTACAAATGCGAGGTAGCCTCCTGCCCAGAGGGGATGTTTGAAGGTCTGCTGAGTTCCCCTGACAGGGGAACCGAAACCAGATCTGAGAGAGTGCTAAGATGAAGAACATCTCATGGAAAAGGAAAAAGAAGGAGGAAAAATTTGGTGTATTTTTGAGCTACAGGATTGTGAAGTTTCATCCCTGTAGAGTGAATCAAGACATTCCAGGAAAGCAGGAGCAGTATCTACTCAAAAGAGATCAAGAAGAATACTTAGGTACTGTCAAGAGAAAAGAATCGTATTACTTACCACAGGAAGAAGAAACATTTCCTCAAAGACCTCACTGAGAAGAATCAGCAGTAGTAGCAACATCACCTTGATCATCTCTGTCACCACCACCATCACCATCAGCATCACCAACACCACCATCACCACTATCGCTACCATCACCAACACCAACACCAACACCATCACCAACACCACCATCATCACCACCACTGCTAACATTGACCTACTTTTGCCAGGCACTGCGCAGACCTCACTGAGAAGAATCGGCAGCAGTAGCAGCACCACCATCACCGCCAATGCCACCACTATCACCACTGTTAACGTTGATTGACCCTTACTATTGTCAGGCACTGCACTAAGTTTGTTATACATAATATCCCATTTAATCTTTACAAGTCTATGAGGGAGACAAGAGTAATTGTTTTATAGATGAGAAAACTAAGACTCAAAGAGCATAAATGACTTGCCCAAAGTCACACAGATAATAAATAATGGAACTGGGATGTGAGCCCAGGCAGTCTGGAGCCTATTCCCTTAACTCCCTATACCAGAGACATGACTTGCCAGTTGGGAAGGGTCCTGTCTTCCTGGTTAGTTGCCTAAAACAAAATGGGGAGCTTGCTATAACTCACAAAATCCACTCATTTTTGCTGATCTAAGTGGAATGAATGACGCAGTCAAGAAAACTAAAAATTGTTGTCTAGGGTCTTTAACGACCTCAATCAACTGAGATATTTGGGAGGAACAGGTGGTGGCATCATACTTTCTACCAGCTGAAGGTTGTAATTTTGGAATAGAGAGGAACATGTGAGGAATGGAGTGGACAGCTGGCTCTGCAGAAGCCAACTTGGGATAGAGTGTGATTTTCCCGACCCTGCTTATTACACCAGACCCACAGGCTCTGGGATGGGGTGCCTGAGGCTCCACCAATGGCCAAGAGCCAAAGTTGGAAGAAGGAGGAGAAACAGATCCTGATGAATATGAAGCCAGTACAGTGGAAGACCAGCAGTGTAACATGAAAAAACCACGGGGAGAAGGCATCCCAGAATTCTCAGGAAGAATCAGCAGGCCTTCCCTACATCAGGAATATTGCTTCTGGCGTCAGATCAGAGATTGGATAATGCACAGAATATGGGTTAAACACATGAGAATGTGAAATAATAACAGCAACCACTTATTGGGCACATATATGCCAAACACTGTGCTAAGTCCTCACAGGCCTGATTTTAGCTCCTCTTCACACCAGTGTTATAAGAAGGTATTCAGATGAGGAAGCTGGGCCTTAGCAGTCATATGAATGGTAAGCGAGGGAGCTGGAATTCTCCCCTCAGCCAGCCGCTCACCAACTCACTCTAGCCTCTCAGCCCCACCTCTAACCACTACACTGTGCTATCTCGTAAATTTTAACTCAAGGTGCTAAATTCCTTTCAGATGTGTGACGGTAACTTAGAGAGACAGGACTCATTACTAGAATGTGGCTACGAAACAATGTACCTATTCAAATAAGTTTGATTGGGGAAGTAGAGAACTGTGTTGTTGTCCAGTAATATGTCTATCTCCATGGAATCCACGAGTGAATTTGATCAGTGGATGACCATATCAAGCAAGGAAAAGTGAAGTGCGAGGAATGAAGGAGAAGAGAAAAACTATAGTTGTCTTTAAATATTTGAAGGAACTGTCATGTGGGAAAAGAGGTAGATTATTCTTGGTTGCATAAAATAGGAGTCACAAGGAGTCAGGTCTCGGCTCCCTATAAAGAAGGTGGTCATGACAATCTTCCCAGTCCAAAGGCAAAGTGGACTTGCTCGAGACAGGGTAACTGCCCACCCTGGAGGTGATTAAGCAAAGGACAGTGCCCACCTGTCAAGAATGCTGTAGATTCCTGCATTGGGTGAGATATTTGACCAAATGCTCTGTGAACTCTGAGCCCCTATTGGTTTCACCCTATCAGGGAGGCCCACAGAGACACAAGTTCAGTATTTGTGGCCTAGAAAGCTAGACCAGATGCCTGAGCCCTTGGGTTCTTCTATAGTGAGCATGGGCAGGTCACTTCAGATGCCCGTCTGTGAAAGAGGGCACAGTGCCTGACCTCTCTAACTATTACATTCTGAAGCCCATGATTATTGGGATGGGGCGGGGGAGGGGAGGAGGGAGACTTATCCCAAGAGAAAAGAAAGAAAAAGAAATAAATCCCAAAACTAATCTCCCAGGCCCCATCTGAAGGCCTGGGGCCTGAAGCCTTTTGCAGTCGGAGATCTTCCTGCCCCAAGCCTGTGCTAAGGGATGTTAGAAAGGCGTTGAGCAGCCAAGAGCTGGGTACTGTGGGAGCTGCCTCGTACAAACACTGCATCAGAGCCCAGACCCTCCGCACAGCCTGCTGGGCACACCCCGCTTCCTGGACACCCAGACACATCATCTTCTCTCCCAGGACTGGCTCCCAGCTGGGTGTGAGGGCTTCCAGCCAGCCTCCCCCAACTTGAAATGCAGTTTCTTTTCTCCACACTGCTCTGAAGTGTGCATTTGTCTCGTGGCGCCAAGAGGAAGTCTTGTCCTCTGGTAAACTTTGCCCCATGGCCCTTTCCTCCTCCAGATTGGGTCATCCGGTCGGCTAGGCCTGAATTCCCAGCATCTCCAAGTACCTTGGAAGCTGGCTGCATTTCCTGCCCCTCCCCAGGCACTGATTGAGCAACAGGCAGACGCTGGTCCCCCCACATTCTTTTGGCCCCAGTGCACGTTCCACAGTGACGGGGACGGAGAGTGAGGGCACCTTGCTGCTTTGGAACAGTCTTATCAGCCTCTTTAAACCTTGCTACTCCGGGAGGCAAAGCTTTGGTATATAAGCACGTTGAGGAGGGGTGAGATGGTAAATCCTGTTGTTTGCTTGGGTACTATAAGGCCTGCTCATTCATACTCATTCAGCAAATATCCTTTGAGTTCCTACTATGTGCCAAGCACAGGGCTGAGCAAGAGAGTAGATTTAACCACAAAACACACAAAACAGACACTGCCCTTGCCATTGAGCGTACAGCTTAAGGGTGAGAAAAAATAGATACTAAGCCTATCCCTTGCAGCAGTGCTTTTCAAACTGTACTGCCCGGGGAATCTCGAAAATTCTGTAGGTCTGGGCGGAGCCTGCAGTGCTGCACATCTGCAAGCTCCCAGTGATGCTGGTGCTACAGGTCCCCAGGTCATGAGCTTAGTTAGCAACTTGAGGGCAGGCCACAAGCAGTGCAGGGCCCCCTCTGGATGAACAGTGGTCAGCATGACAAGCAGTGAACTTTCTGGAGGAATGCTGGGAGGTCTTTCTTTCTTCCTCACACCAAGACCCCTTGTCAAGAGGCCAGGGCTCCGTTGGCCTTTTCTGTCCCCTGGTAGAGTCTCTGGACAGGTGCCAGTGCCAGGGTGGGAGCCGCTGTGGGAAAGCTAGTGTTCACAGAGGGTTTTCCTTGACTTGGGCGTGAGAAGGTGGCAGTGGTCAAAGGGGCCCAGGATGTTTTGATCAGCGGCATCCTCTTGTCTTTGCAGACTGTGCTGGGTGCAAGGAGGAGATCAAACACGGCCAGTCGCTCCTGGCGCTGGACAAGCAGTGGCACGTCAGCTGCTTCAAATGCCAGACCTGCAGCGTCATCCTCACCGGGGAGTACATCAGCAAGTGGGTCTCCCCCCTCCCCGCCCCAGCTTCCTGGGCCTCTGCATTCTGCCAGGCCTGCCCGCTCTGGCCCTTGCCTGAACCTCCAGCAGCATCTCCCTTCATTTCCATCCAGCTCCCACACTTCGGGCACAAGCAGCATCTCACCAACCCCCCCGGGCCCTCCCACAGTGTTTCGTCTGCCTGAGATGCTCTCTGTTCCTCCCGCGCTTACTCCTTCCCTTCCTTCTGGTCTCGGGTCCCATGCCCTCTCCTCCAAGGTCTCCCTATACCATCTCTTCCCACCTCCAGTCCCCAATACTGGCCTTCACAGTGGCCCTCATTCTCCCCTATTCATTTCCTTCATACAGGCTATCACCATTTGCAATTATATATTTATCCATGTTAACTTTTTAATAATGATAATAATACTAGCTACCATTTGTTGAGTTTCTATTAGGTACAAGGAACGTACTAACTGCTGTGTGTGGATTACCACATTAAATCCCATAACTACCCCCATGAGGTATTTATCTCCATTTTAAAACTTGTGGAAACTGAGGCTTGGGGGAGTAGGTAACCTGCTCCAGTGATAGTGTTTAATGTCTGTCCTCGCCAGGGCAGGGACTTTGTTTTATTCATTGCTGCCTTTAGCACAATGCCCCACCCATAGTCAATAATATAGTGGTTGAATGAATTTAACTGAGATGAGAGGAGATGATGGACACACAAGTTATCAGGAGAGAGGGCCCAGCCTGTGACCTACACACGGCAGCGCTAGACAACCCCCCTCGATGCTAGGCCTGGTGACCACGTTTATACACTCAAGTACCTAAAAGAAATTACGGCCACAGACCCTCACGGTTTTGAGGCTTTATGACCCCAGACATTTCCTAGGTACCACTCTGTGCTCGATGCTAGGACGTAGTGAGCATGTCAAGTTGCAGCCTACATGGTTTCTGCTGTCAAGGAAGTTCTAGTCTTATAAGGGAGATAAGCTATATCCATAAAGAATTATGACACCGGGGGATATGTGATAGGGCCGCTCAAGAGAAGTTTTATTCTTTAAGACCTTTTTGATCATAAGTGACAGAAAACCCAACTCAAACTCACTTAAAAGCAAAATGGGAGTTTATTGACTCATAGAAATAGGAAGGCCAGAGGCATACTGGCTTCTGGCACTGCGGAATCCAGGGGTTTAAAGATGTCATCAGCACTTTAGAAGTGTCTCTCTCTGTCTCTCTCTGCCTCTCTCTCTCTCTCAGCTCTGATTTCCTCTGTGTTGGATTCAATCTCAGGCAGGCCCACCCCAAGTGGTAGCAAAGATGACCACCAGCAACTCCAGGCTTTCATTCTGTCAGCTTAGCCAGCCCAGCAGAATTTCCCCAGAAATCCAGCAAAAGTCCCACAGCTGCCCCTGACTTGGCCACCCTTGGTGACCCGTTCCTGACCAATCACTGGCCAGGAGGATCCAAACCCTAGAGCCAGAGGGCAGCCGCCTGTGACCCACAGTAACTGTCGGTGGGAAGGAGTGGCTCCCAAAGGAAAACCCAGGCTAGGGTTTCTACCACCAGCAGAAGGGGAGACGGATGCTGGCCAGACAGCACTGGTCTGTGTCAGAGGTCCGAGAGAAGGGCTGTGAATATTCAGAGAAAGGAGGAATCACTTTCCAACTAGCAGGAAGTGAATCTGGAATCTGTGAGTGCTTCATGGAAGATAGTGGTATTTGAGCTGGACCTTGAAAAGGGGGGTAAGATTTGAAGATGCCAAGGAAATCTTCTAGGCAGAATGCCCAGCCTGGGCAAGGGCAGGGAGGTGCTGGACACATCCATCCTGTTTGCTGGAGCTCAGGCAAGTGCACAGGTGAAGCAGGGTCCGAGGCTGCAGAGGTGAGGCGAGGTCACATCACTGAGAGCTTTGAATGCCATGTTAGTAGGAATTGGGCATTCCCCTCTGTGTCTGCAACGTAAGGAGTGCCCTTAGTGAGTTGCTAGCCAGGAGTCCTTGAGTCTGTGAGCCTAAATCAGAATTCTCTGGGGAGTAAGAGTTTGCTCAGAGATCCTCTCAAGGAGGCCCAGCCCAGAATGCCCACCACACCTCGGGCCTCTACAGCCCGGCTCTGGCCTTTTCATCCATCTGCTGGCAGAGTGGCAGGTGCTTAGAGGCACTGGCTCTGGCATCAATGGGTTATAAGACCAGCCTGCATGACTTTGGCAAGAGACTCAATTTCTCTGAGTCTCAGTTTCCTCATTTATAAATGGGGATCAGAAGAAGACCTACCTCATAGGGTTGTGTAAAGGCTCAGAGGTCTGTACTTTGTACCTAGTAAGTGCTCAGTAAATATTGATTTTTATCATCTGCTGCATTTTAGAATCATGTGTATTTCAAATTCCCCAAGGCCTCACCAACCCATGGGACCAAATGAGGTGGTATTTGCATTTATACTCAAATTTTGCTGGCTTATTGTATCCATCTCCTGAAAAATGACTTTATCCCCCTACAGAGTCACCCTCCCACCCCTACAGAGTGTGGAAGGATTGGAAGGGGTTGGGGAGTCTTGTCTCATGGGCTCACAAACAAGTCCTTGCTTTGTGGGCACAGTCTCACCTCTAGGCCTTTGCCGGGTGTCAGTCCTCACTGCTGCTTCTCCTTCAGGAATTCACTGCCTGGGCTGGGCTCACAGCAGTCACAACATGGCAACAACTTGGAGATGGGAAAGTGACATGCTTGTCCTGTAGGCTCGCTGGTCTGAGCCACGTTCTTTTACACCCAAAAGTGGGGGAGATGTCCCTCTCTCCTCATTGCACTTGGTGTCATCAGCACTTCAGAAAGATGTCATCAGATCTATTCCTTAGAGCTAGGCAGGGCCCAGAAGCTGGGCTGAGCTCCCTGATGCCCCCAACTATCTCCACATTGGCCCTAGAAAGCTGAGCCCCAAACGTCCTCTTTGAAGACCGCTCTCAGCAATCGTGGGGATTCCTCTGGCTGCCGTGTGCCAAGTGCTCCCACAGGCCAGCACTGTGCTGAGCCCTGGGACAGCCTGGAGCCGTGTCCTTTAATCCTCATGACAACCTAAGTGAGAAACCAGACCACCTGGGTTTGAATCCAGTTCTAGTTCATTCGAGTTGGGTTTTCTCATCCGCACAATGGGGAAACTGATAGTTCCAACCTCATAGGGCTGTCGTAAGGATTAAATGAAATGATTTTTGTAAAATGCCATCAGAGGGCCTGGACACACCAAGCAATGACTGTCAGTGGCCGTTAGTAGTGGGGGTAGTGTAAGAATAGGTAATGGTCTTATTACTACCCGATAAGTTATAAGCCCAGGGCAAAAAGTACGCTGGAGCACAGGGGAGGGGGTTGGGGGATGCTCCTGTGTCTGCTCATATGGGAGCGTGCTCAGATGCTTCTTTCAGTGCAGGTGAAATTGCTTATTAGAGGAGGAGCCCTTCAGGATATGCAAAAATTGATCACATTGATTACCTCCTGGTTTTCCTGGAGAGGAAACTGGGAGGGGCCGGAAGGAAGGTGAAGATTTTTCCTTTTATGCTTTTGTAATGTGCTGTATGCAAATATTACCTATTCTAAATAAAATCAAACAAATTTTTTAAATCATTTTTTTAAAGAACCCTTTGCGATAAAGAGAAGCGAGTGGCTCTGGAGAATTTATGGGGAGGGGGGAGAAGGAGAGTGGAGAAGGGACACCCATGACCAGCAGCAGACCAGTGGGTCCCAGGCACACCCAGGGAGTTTGTCAAGATGCAGATTCCTGGGGGCCCCTCCCAAGAAGTCTCCGATTCCATTGATGTGAGCAGTGTCTGGGGAGTTTGCGTTTTTAACAAGCTCTCCCAGTGCCTCTCATCTTGGCCTAGTCCCTGTTGGCTGCAGGTCCTAGAACCTCCACGTGACACCCCCACAGACCTCCCCCAACTTCCTCTTCCTGTGTGGATTTCCTCTTGCAGGGATGGCGTTCCGTACTGCGAGTCTGACTACCACTCCCAGTTTGGCATTAAATGCGAGACTTGTGACCGATACATCAGCGGCAGGGTCTTGGAGGTGAGTGGGTTCAAGTAACTGTGAAGATGTTTGAGCAGGAAGGCCTGTGACTCCAAAAAGTCGTCACTGAGGAAGGAAAAAGTCCCCCCACATCCCTTCTTCCATAGCCTCCACCTTCCCCTGGCCTCCTCTACCCCAGCTTAGCTACATGACCTTGAGCAGATAACCTTGCCTCTCTGGGCACCCCCAAAATGAGAAGCTGGACAAAATTATTCCCGATTCAAAAAGTGCTGTGCTGAGAATATGAGTTGCTTCTCTGGATTCAGACTCTGAGAGATTACTGGGGAGTGACAATTATGATTTTCTTCCCAACTCTGCTGGAGGATGGAAGGCTTTTTTTATTTTTTAAGCATTTGGTAATGTGCTGATTTAAGAACCAGCTTGTCTGGCAGCTTGCTCCCTAAGCCCTTCTTTGGCTGGTCCATTGCCATGGCAACAGCTTTCCACCACCTCCGATGCACAGCTTGCTCTGCCAGTGACAGACAACCTGCAGCACCCTTGCTGAGCCCCTGCCTGAAACCCCTGTCCGCTGGCCTTCTTGGCCTTCCTTCCCATACCCTGTGGGCCCAGGAAACTGCCTTCCTAGGCTTTGGGACCACCCACCTTGAGGAATTAGAAACAAGAAAGAGTTTAGTGCAAAGGAAAAACAATAGCCTAAGAGTAGGAACAATTAGGTTCTAATATTGCCTCGACTGCTGACACATGCTCAGATTTTGCGTGAGTATCTTTGCCTCTCTAGGCCGCAGTTTTCCCATCTGACAGTGGCTGGGGGACGGCAGACTGGGTCAGCTCTTGCAAGCGGAATCATTAATTCTGACAAATCTGACTAGTTGGTTGTGGTTACCTGGAATCAGCACTGTGTCCAGAAGGATACTGCAGCCACATCTGGGCTCAGCAGGAGAGAGTGTAGAAACCAGGAAAGAACTCTCTGAAGAGATGCATTGAAGCTGAGCCCTGAGGAGGAGAAGGAGGCTGTCATGTGAAGAGCTAGAGGAAGAATGAGCTGGACCCATTCAGGGAACAGAGAAAAAGGCCTGTATGGCTGAATTATGTAAATCAGGGCTAGGGGAGAGTGGAGTATATCACATAGGGCATGCCGTATAGGGCTTTGAGGACCTGTTTAGGAGTTTGGATTTTATAGTAAGTGCAATGGAAAGCCAATGGAAAGTTTTAAGCCAAGGAACAACATGATGAGATTATGTTTTTAAAAGATCGTAGGGAGTCAGAGAGAATAAGATAAACAAATGCACAGAGTTGATAAACTATTAAGCATTTCCAGGAGCAGGAAGAGTACAACATGGAGGATAAGGCATGAAACAGGAGCACGGCAGGGTGTTGGGCCCAGGTTTCCCAGGGCCTGATACCAGCGGGAGGAGTTTGTATGTAATTCACTGGGCAACAGGGGTTGTGGAAAGATCAATCAGAAGTGACCTGCTTAGAGCTGCACCTTTGGGAGAATAAAGTGATGCACACAGGCTAAATTTGGAGGAAAGAAACTGGAAGTGGGAGACCAGCGAGGAGGCCATGACACCAGAGGAAGGAGTCAAGAGATACAGTAGCAGTGGAAAGGACAACCACCCTGTCTCCAAGATTATGGAAGTAGAATTCCAATAGCTTTGCAACTGTGCGGCAACTTGTAGATGTGAGGAGTGAAGGAAGAGAGGCCAAAAGTTGTAGCAAAGAGTCAGGCCTCGGTAAGAGGTAACTGGTGTTGCCGTCTTCAGAGCTGGAGGTGGCAGAGAAAGAAGCTGATCTGAAGAAACACAGTGAGTTCCGTTTGGGATGGGTTGTGATTGAAATTCTGGGAAGGTTTCAAGAAGGCAGTCAGAAATGTGGAGCAGAGCTCAGGAACAAAGCTCAGGCCTGGAGGGACCAATCTCCAAAATGCTAGGATTTGAAAAATAGTCAGCACCATGGGAGTTATCAGAATTTCCGAGGGGTGGGGGGGAGGGAGGGAGGGGGAGAGAGAGAGAGAGAGAAAGTGGGCTGAAGGCAGCCTTGGGGAGTGGCTGCTTTCAGGTGGCAGAAGGAGACTGAGAAATGGGAGGAAGAGGAAAAACAGTCAGGGAGGTGGGGGAGAAAGGGAGAGGGGCAGTAAGAGAACAGAACTTCAGAAAAGATGGCAACGTCAGTCAGAGTGTTGGTCAGATTCCACAGAGCGGTTAAGGACTACGTGGGTAGAGAAAAAGCTGTGGGATGCGGGGAAGTGTCACCTTCAGGACTACAGTTTGTGGGGTCTGCAGGATTGTGGGGGAGAGGCATCTGCATTGTAGTGGAGTAAAGGGTCAGTGAGATGAGAGATCATAAAAGCAGACTCTTCTTTTGAGAAGGAAAAAACTCAATGACGCACAGGGCCACAGACAGGAATTTGTCTCGGCTGCTCTGAAATTGTGTCGTCAGTGGCCGTCTTTTCCCGCGTGTTACTGTCGTTCAGCATTGTGGGAGCCTCCTCTTCTCGGGCAGCTGTTGTGACTGGGTTTCAATTGATTCCCTTTGAGTGAGGCTCCATTAGCATCTTGGACGTATTGATTTTTTTTTTCTTAGAGCTGGCAGAGACTTTTAGCAATCCACTAGTTCACCCTCCTCATTTTACAGATGAGAATAGTGAGCAACAAGACGTGTGATGCTTTTCCAAGGTCACACGCATGTTTCCGGTAGAGACCGAGCTGAAATCTAGGACTCCAGGCTCCTATATCCCATGCCGATGCCCACAGCTCTTGGCCACTCAAGGTTCTTTGAGGTAGTGTGACGTCATAGGAAATACATGGTTGGAGTGAAACAAACTTGGATTCCAATTTTACCGCTTCTAGCCATGAAACCGTAAGCAAGTCGCTTTCTCTGAGTCTTAGAGTCTTTATCCCTTAGTGGAGAATACTACTGTTATTTAACTCCTAATGGATATGTTAGTGTGAAATAATAGAAAAAATATGTATTGGTTTCTACCCCCAGTTCCTGACACAGAGCTCCTAAATCCCTTGGAATTTCCTGGGTGATAGGATATCTTTTCTTCTAATGAGGTGACTCTTGATAGGCTCCTAGATGGGGGCTGGTCACCAGAGATACCAAGCCATGATTAGAAGCTTAGACCTTTCAGCCCAATGCCACATCCTCCAGGAAAGGGAGAGGGGCTCGAAATTGTGTTAATGATGGATCATGTCTGTGTAATGAAGCCTCCATATATATCCCGAAAGTACAGGATTTGGAGAGCTTCCAGGTTGGGGAAGATTTGGGGGTTCTGGGAGAGTGGCACACGTGGAGAAGGCATGGAAGCTCCGTGCCCCTTCCACATACCTTGCCCTTCTGTATCTCTTCCATCTGGACGTTCATCTATATCCTTTATCATATCCTTTTTTAATAAACCAGTAAACATGTTTCCCTGAGTTCTATGAGCCATTCTAGCAAATTACCAAACCCCAGTTGGGGGTCATGGGAACCTCGATTTATAGCCAGTCAGTCAGTACAGGTGACAATCTGGGACTTAGGATTGGTATCTAAAGTGTGTATGTGGTGGCTAGGGGGACAGTCTTGTGGGACTGAGCCCTTAACCTGTGGGATCTGACATTCTCTCCAGGTAGATAGTGTCAGAATTGAGTTAAACTGTAGGACACCCAGCTGGTGTCAGAGAGAATTTCTCAGCGTGGGGAAAAAAAACCCCACACATCTGGTGTCAGAAGTGCAATGAGTGTGGTAGTAGGGTGAGAGTAAAGGACACACACAGGAGTGTGTTTTTCCTTTACAGTTAGTCAGGACATTTTTGGTTGCAAGTGCAGAACCTATACTCAAATGGCTCAGACCAAAAAGGAAATTTCTCAGCTCCCAAAATAAAAAGCCCAGGAGTAGTTCTCGCTTCAGGCACAGCTGAATACAGTGTTCAGACAAATGCATTTGGACTATCTCACCATGTTGGCTCCACTTTCTTCTGTGTTGGCTTTATTCTCAGGAAGGCTCTCCTTTGTGATGGGGAAGTTGGACACCAGTTGCTCCAGGCTTACATCCTATCAGCCGGCATCCCCAGTGGAAGGAGAGCTGCTCTTTTCTAATAGCTCAGCAAACGTCCTGAGACCGGCTTTCACTGGACAATCTCAGGCCCGTCTCCAAACCAATAGCTATGACCATAGAGCTGGAATAACTTACTGGTGGGGTCAGCCCTACTTAACACATGGACTGACGTGGAAAAGGGTGGTCCCACCCAGGAAAGGCCTGATGCTGTTTCTAGAAGAAGAGGGAACGATGTTGGCCAGGCAAAAACCACAGTTGCCCACTACAGGGCCCAGTGCATTTCTGGGGTACACAATAGGCACTTAATTAAATACCATTTCCCTTTCCCATTCCCTCCCCAGGCCGTACTGCAATCCCTTCCTCAGTTGTAAAGCTCCCCATGCTGAGCGCTACTCTCACTCCTTCCTTCCTAATCTGTGTCCTCGCCGAGGAGAACCACACACCTGGTGTTCTTGTGCTGCGTTTTCTAACCAAAACTTTAGTAAGTTTGAGGTTCTCAGTCCTCTCCAATACGGCCCCATCTTTCAGGTACTGATTCTTTGCCGCTTTTCTTCACTATTTTCCTGACTTCGGTTGTTAACAGACACCTCGCTGATTTGGTTTTCCCTACGCTGGAACCAGCTGCTCTGGAAGCCTCCCCTCCCTCAAGTTGTTTTCAGCGCCACCTGTGGCCAGGGTTGCTGAGATGGGCATGAAGCCTCTTTCGGCTTGTGGGAGGGCGGGGGGCGGTGGGGGGCGATGTGACATTTAGGAAGATGCCAAGCTTCAGTTTTGCCAAGGCGCTGTTGCCACCCTGGAAAACAGGTCTATAATTGAAATGATAAAGAGACACAAAGTAGGAAGAGGCTACTAATTAAGCCGATTATACTTGTCATGGTACGAGAGAATCGGTCCCAAGGCATCTCAGCTTGGGAAAATAGCAGGCTCCTTCCAAAGTTCGAACACAGTTTGCTTTGATGACAACAAGGACATTTTATCATGGGGGGAGCCACGCAAACAACCAAGACTGAAAAAAAGGGATAGTGGAGATTTTTTTTCCTTTTTTAAAAATCTGCCCTTTCCACATTTTTGCTAAGGTTTTAGAATAAATCGAGTATCTCTAGAATAGGCAAGCCCATGCCCAACCCCATCCCCAGAGAAAAAGATTTAGAAATAAGGCTTCACCTTACACAATTACAATTTTTGAATTGGAAGGAACCCATTAGCATCAGACCAAGTGATGGCTTGCGGTGGGCCCTTTAACAATCCCCCAGTATCTATCAATTTCCCCCAGGCATAGCCCCCTAAAAACCCTGCCCTAACATGCAAAACAAGCCCCTTCTTCCAACCCAACCGCTACACCAAGCTCCTCCCATATAGAAATTCTGGAGCTGCCACTGAAAGGCCCTTACACATCCAGTCCTCTTGGCTGGACTTGTGTCAGAATTGTCAGCATGGAAGTAAGTGCTGGCCTGGTGACTGGCCCTCACGGCTCCAGCTCCAACACTGCTACTGGCTTCCAGTGAGACCTTGAGTCACAACCTTCTCTGAGGCTATTTCTTCCCCCTATAGGAGACTTGGCAGCTGCAAATCCTTTCCGTTTTTACTTGAAATAATTGTAGGGAAGGAAAGTGGGAATAGTGAAGGGGGCTCACCAAAGCCAGACTGGGGTGAGCTGGGGATAGAGGCAGAGGCACCCAGGTGCAACAATCCTGGGACTGGCCTGGAGGTCAGAGGCTCCCCAACAGATCCTGGCTTTGCAGGTCCCTTTATTTGTCCACTGAGTCCTAAAGTCGGGCCTTCATGTGCCACTCACAATTTTCGCCGTGTCTGTGAACCTTGTGTACTTACTCTTAACTAATATTTTAATTTGTCTTTAAGTTGGCTCACTTACATATAAGAAAACTTATATAACGTAACAGCAAAACCAGAATCACTTTCCATATTGCTGATAACTAAAAAATGAATATAGTTCTAGCTAAATTCTACTGCTTATGGAGCCTCACACCTGTTATCATTCCTAAAAAGGTATATTAGTAAGATTTGGATAGATGTTAAAGACACATCGCACCAAACTGGTGCTTTCTTCTTGAAAAAATTCAGAAGTATTGATAGAGGATTGAAAGGAGATCATTTTTTTCATTGACCCAATGTTATTAAATCCTTGGTCCATGTACTACTTAAAATCATCTTATGTACCATTAGTGGTAAGGATCCCATTCTTGGGGAAATGCTGGGATGTCCTCAAAGCAGGATTGTTTCCTCATCTGGAAATGAGGGGGTAGGACCAGTGGCCTCCAAAGGGCCCCTCCACTGCCAGAATAGAAGTACAAGTGTCCAGGAAGTCCCCTGAACTGCCCTCAGGGACCCATGGTGTAGAATCACCAAGCTTCCTGGGTGACTTTTAGATGGTTCTGGACTCCCCAGGTAGACTCCAAACCAACCTTAGGGCCGTGAAGATGCCAACAACACTCATGTGTCCAGGAAATGTTCAAACCCAACCTGCCCCACTGGACAGCAGCCCCAGCTCTGACCTCCTATTTTATTTTTTTATTTCCACAGGCAGGAGGGAAGCACTACCACCCAACCTGTGCCAGATGTGTACGCTGCCACCAGATGTTCACTGAAGGGGAGGAGATGTACCTCACAGGTAAGCGAATCTGAGCCTCTGTAAGGCATTCCTGTCCACCCATGACGGGAAAGGAGATACAATCCCCTTTCATTTCAGTGTTATCTTTGCTTTTGGCTTGTCCTCAAAATTGCAATTAATTCACCCCTCTCTGGGTGGTTCGGGAAAGTTGCCGGTGTGGCTAATATGAAGTGACATGTAATCTGCCTTCTGTCCCTGAGTGCCTCCACCCGCTGCTCCGCTGGCCTGCTTCCCTGGCAATGCTCTGAGCAGACTCCCCTGGCTCTCCTGGGGGTGGGAAGTTGAGCTTAATGAGGCCACAGGTTCAGAGAACCTCAGGGGGATGCCTGGGTTGCACAGTGTCTGCAGCATCACAGCCTCTACCCCACCTCCCTCTCCCATCCCTTCCCCCCGCATCTCAGAACATCACACCATTCTTCCCATGGACTCTCAGGATGCACAAAAAGGAATTGGAGGTAACCAACAGTCTCCAAGAAGCAAACTGGGGCTGTTTTCCCTCCACCACTTTCTGGGGTCTAGCCCTCTGTTCCCAGGATTCTTGCAACACAGTCTTCTAATTAGTCTCCAGGCTCTGCTCAATCTTCCATCCTCTGCCCAGTCCATCATCCCCGGGCGTCACGGTGTTCTTAGCACAGCCCTGTGGAGAGGTTTGGGTACCAACACTTCAGCCTAGCATTTAAGACCCTCTCACTGAGGTCTCAAACTGCCTTTCTAGCCTTGAACAAATCCAACACTTCAGCTGCCAAAGCTAGCTTTCAATAATTTCTTCATCCATTCAACGTCTATTTCTTGAGCCCCAGCCATGTACAGGCTTTGCACCAGGGTCTGTAGTCCGACCCCCACTGCCCTACAGTCCGTTAGGGGAGGTGGACTGTAGACTATAATCACACAATAACTGTCCACTATGATAAGCTTTATGAAGGAGAGAGGTATGGGATTGTGAGAGCACATAATAGGGTGGGGAGGGGCATCAGGGAAGGTTCCCTGAGGAAGGGCTGGGAGCTGGGATCCGAAGGATGAGTGGGCATTAACTGGGCAAAGAGAGGAGGGATGAGATGTGCCAACCTGAGGGGACAGAATCTGCCAGGATCTGAGGCGGGTGAAGAAATGGCAAGTATGGGACATCGAGAGAAACCAGGGTACAGACAGAGGTGATAGGTGAGGCTAGAAGGTGGGCAGGGATGGACCAGGCCGGCCTTGTGAGGATGGTGTTCAACCCCTCCTATGAATTCATGGCCCTGGTGCCTCCAGGTTGTTGATCTTCACTTACATACCTCCTGGAACACTCTTGTCTTCCATGCCCTCCTTTGGAAATCCTATCCTTCTGGGTCCAGTTCAGGCACTACCCACTTCATAAATCCCACAGATGCCCTCAACCCCACCAACGACTTAATGCACCCCTTCCTCCCTGAATCCCCACTGCCCTTTGTTTGCGTCTGGTCCCCTCCAGCTTCCTTGAGAGTCATTGGCCTTTTCCCTGAGACCCCTTGCCCCTGACATTGACCCATCAGCCCTGACATTGACCCCACAAGTACTCAGTCTACAGGTGATCACTGTTGGCTGAATGGCTACGCTTAGCCATCCCCAGATGTTTGAATAGCCATCTTAGGGAGAAACCTTCCTCCTGGTTTCCTCACAAGGCAGATCTAAGGCCAGGGAAGCAGTTACAGGGCGTGTGTCTTCCTATCAAGCTTGTCCTGGCCACAAATGCCCACAGCCAGGAATTCCCTCAAGATATAATGAGTCCCCTTTGCCTAGAGCAGGGCTTCCAAGCTCAGCACTATTGACATTTTTCTCTGTCAATTTCTCCCGATAATTCTCTGGTGTGGGACTTTCTTTTGCATTGCAGGGTGCTTAGTAGCATCCCTGGCCTACAAGATGCCAATAACGTACCCCTTCCCGTTATGACAATTAAAAATATCTCAGACATTGCAGAATGTCCCCTGGGGGACAAAATCGTCCTCGGTTGAGAACTATTGGCCTAGAGCTATTCAACAGAATCTCATCCCATCTGCTAGAAATGCTGGAGCAGGGATTCCTATGTTGGGTTAGGCTGGGTGACCGTTTCTAAGATGCTGTGACTCTACAACTATTTACTTGTATGTACAGTCTTACAGGTGTTAGAGGTGGAAGGATCCTAGAGGTCACTCTAGACTGGAAAGTAACAACCCTCGTTGTACAGATGGGAAAAGTGAGGCCCAGACTGAGGAAGAGACTTGCATGAGAACCAGAGCATGCAGCGGCAGAGCAGGACCTGGCCTTCTGACTGCCATTTCAGGGCTCTCTCCACTTCGCCCCCCGGGACCCAGGTCCTGCTACTCAGGTCCCTACTCAGGTCCCTGCAAGGATTAGACCTCCCCTTCCCATGAGCACCAATCTCTCTGTGCCTGGGTCCCCAAGTGGTTCCTGCTGCAGGACCCTGTGTTATGTCCTGTGAAGCCCACCTGAGTCTCAGCAAACTGCATGATGTCTTCATGGACCCTGACCACCGTGGTAATCTGGACTTTGCACTTGGTTTGAAAATTTGTTGCATGATATTCCTCTCCTCCTTCCCTGGTGGAGACATTTCCTAGTGTTGAAACTGCACTCACGTTCACATCACTAGAATAATCAACATCTTTACCTACCTTTACCTTACCTTCCTGAATTCCCAATCCTAATCTTTCCCCATTTGGTGCTTTGAATCCTGGCTCCACTGCTTACTAAGTTTTGACCCTGAGCAAGTCTCTTAACTCGCTGAACCTCAGTTGCTTAGTCTGTAAAATAGGCTTGTAACAGTCCCTATAATATAGAAGTACAGTAAGTTCCTGACACATGGTAAGCTCTTAGTTCATTGATTTAACGAATATCTATTGAGCACTGCCTATGTGCCTGGTGCTCTCATGACAACTGGAGATGTAGTGGTGAGCAAGGCTGACAAGTTCCCAGCCCTCATGGAGCTCACGTCCTCATGTATCAGTACCTTCTAAGCCCTGCTTCTGACCAGAACTTCACAGAATGCTGAAAGAGTTAAGCGATGAAGTGAGCAGCTTTGTGATCATGAGAGAGAATGCGTGATCAAACCTATGGCAGAAATGCCTCCGGGAGGTGGAAGATATTCTTGGTGATGAAGAAGAGCCTGTCACCCTCCTCCTTAATTATCTCCATCCCTACGCTCCTGGCTCCTGGGAGAGTGGGAGTAATTGCAGGGCATTCAAGGACCTGCCTCGAGGGATGCTGAGTGATCCTGGAATGAGGGGGACCGGGCCATCCAATGCTAGACTTCAGCTGTTGGCATCTCGGGGATGGCAGCCACCGGGGGGTTCTGCTACCACTGAGAGCTGGGCCTGTGATTGCCTTGGACACCCTCCCTGGGTGGGGGTACCAGGACTCAGAATGATATTCTCCAGAAATGGCAAGAAAACTCTCCTCCCGGTCAACACAGGAGTGAGAACCAGCTGAGAGCCTAGACTCCTGGGTTCAAGTGTCAGCACTTCCACTAATGGGCTGTGACCTTGAGAAGTGACTTCCTTCTGAGTCTCTTCCTTTACCTGTAAAATGAGGATAATTACAGTGTCTTTCATTCATCCGTTCAAACTGAGGTCGTGCTATGTGCCAGGCTCTCTGTTATGTGCTGGGGTGCTCAGAGATGAGCGAGGCAGGAGTGCTAGCCTCTGTAGCGGAGTTTACTATCAGGAGGAGAAGATTGACTTTAATAAAATAGAATTGCAAACATTCAATGACAAGCTGTGATAAATGCTGTGAAGGGGAAATTTGGGAACAATAGGAGTGTGTTCTAAGGCTCCTGATCTAGTCTGAGAGGCCAGGAGAGGCTCTGCTGAAGGAGGGAAGTTTCAAACCAAGACCTTGAAATTGAGTAGGAGGTGGGAGGGCGAAGGAGGGAGGGAAGATTGTGGAGGCAGAGAAAACAGCAGGTGCAAAGGCCCACCGTGGGAGGAAGCATTACATGGTGGAGAAACTGAGACAGGTCCATGTACCTAGTGCACAGAGAACAAGCATACTCCACAAGGTCCTTGCGAATATTAGAGGGGAGAATGCACATGGAGACGCTCAGCGCCCCATAAAGCAATACACACAAGAGAGAGAGTATTAGGAGGCCTGCAAAGTCTATAGACCCAGTCTTGTCAGTTCTGTAGCAGCACACAGCAAGCTACTGGCAACCGGCCTCAGGAGGTTCTTTTGGTCAGTTTGTGTGTGTTTTAATGACTGTGTGATGGCTTTCCAATGGGCTCTAATTGGGAGAAGTCTGACGTCTGTCTGGATGAGAACTTCCGAGGGGTCCCAGGAGACAAGAGCAAGTTTTATTTGTTGTAAGTTCTGTTGTGCATTCAGTCTTCTAACTGTTTTTGTAAAGATGCCAGATTTCTAATCTGTTTGTTGTCCAAACCCTTCATTTGGGCTTCACCAGGAAATTAGGTCACTGATTTCGTGCAGCAAAATAATAGCCAAAATGCAGCAGGTTTGGGGCAAAACTTATCCTGGAATCGCAAAGGTTACGGTTGCTGGATTGGTGGGAGTTTTTCTAAACCCAAAATGTGGTTCATGAGAGATTTTGCGCTTGTTCTAAATATGCCTGTACCCAGGAAAAAGAAAAGATCAACTTTTTTTCTCTCCTTCTGTCTCCACTAAATACAACCCTGTTCTAAGGACCTGAGACAGAGAATAACACTGGAAGTCCAGGAGCTCAGCTGCACATTTTTAAACAGGTCTCTGTTATCATTTGCACATTTAATTAAAACCCACCAGGCAGGAAATCATTTATGAAATCCTAGGACAAATCTTGCTCGGCTAAGGAAAGTATTATAACAAATTGTAGGTCATTCCAATATTAATAATAATATTAATAATAATAATAATAAAATGCCATCAGCTGATATTTCTTGAGCACTTACTATGTGCTGAGCACTGTCCTAAGAATTTTAAATGCAGTGTTCCATTTTATCCTCTCAACAACCCTGTGAGCTAAAAGCCATTAATAATATCCCCATTTTAGAGAACAA